AAGGCAACTGTACAAAAGGAAGCTGTGACTTTCTACAAAATTCGTGTCCTTGCTTCTGACGGTGTGGAAGGAGCAGCATCCAGGGAGCAGGGGCAGCAACTTCAGGAGTTGCAGGTGGGGACCAGCAGCAGGGGGACAGGTGGCTCACAGCAGAGTGGGAAGTGGACAGGAGCCCCTCATGATGAGGAACGTGGCCACGTGAACAGTCAGAAGAGAGGTGAGATGACCCTCCTTCTGTCACAGTCTCCTAGAAGGGGGATCCCCGCTGTGTCAGGGTCAGGGTGGGCTGCCGAGTTCTAAGGGCTTCTCTGTGGTCCATGGCCTCAAGGCTGTTCCCATCCGAGACCCATGTCCCATCCCTGCAGCATCTGTGGATTCTCTCAACCTCTTCCCTCTTCCCTTTGGGAAACTGAACTGTGCACCTGAGCGTCATACCTGCAGAACAAGGAGTTCACCAGGAAAACATGCAAGGCAGCTTCTGGCAGGACAGGGTTCACTCAAGGACTGTGCAGAGTGACCTGAGACTGGGCCATGGGGGGACAGGTTGAGCAGGAGATGAGGTCCTGGCTGTGCTGCTGAGTCACACCTGTGCAGCAGGGTCAGGGTCAGCCCCCTGGGGAGTGACCTGTGGGGCTGCTCAGGGCCCTGTGCTGAGAGGGGCCCCTCACATGGGATGGTGTGCTGTCAATGTCTTCTTGCAATCTTTAGATGTTGTAACAATGGGCTTGGTGGGGTTTTTTTTTGCCAGGCCTTGTGAAATTTATACCTGGTCGTGATCATTGTCTGTATTGGAAGTCAGGACTGTTACCTGGCCACTTCATGGTGACCCTAGTCATCAGCACCAATAATTGGTCCGATGCTACTGAACAATGGCTCTGAACACCATGATTTCCAAATCTCGTTGCTTCCCTCCATGGGTTGCCAGCCTATTGTCCCCAACTTCCTGCCGCATCTGGTCTTCTTATTGCTTTCCCCAAAGCTTAAGCATTGACCAATCAAATTTCTCAATCTAGTGAACCAAATATATAATAAAAACGTGATGTTTTAATGGTGATGCAGCAGACAACTAGAGCATCGCGTCCACTGTGAGAGCTTTGGCAGCTGCCTGACACCTGAAAATCATTTCCAGAGCCTGTGGCATCTGTCTGCTGAGTGGATCTTGGACAGGCTGCTTCCGTCTGGGCCTGGGGTGGGGGAGGCAGAAAGGGTGGGAGGGGAATTGCATCTGCTCCCTGGGAGCATCTTCACCTGCCAGACCCTGGGGCACGTTCAAGCTGGCAAGGCCCACATGAAAAACCACAGAGGGGCTGTGTGGTCACAGAGACTTTTCCCCAAACTCCCCCTCCTCTTCCCTGTGGCTCCCAATGGTGTAGACCCCTTCAGGTCTGCACCGGAGTCCTGCAGTTTCTGAATGAGGAACTGAGACCCTCCTGAAAGACTGGACTCAAAGCCCACAGCAGACAATCACTAGCAGCACCCAAAGGCACCCCAAGCCACCTGCTTGACTTCCTGTTTCCAGAATCACCCTGCTGTCTCCCAGTGCACAGGCGTGGGCAAGGCTTGGGTCATTTAATAAGGGCCTTTGTGATCCACCGCCATCATCCAAAATCCTGAACATAGCTCTGGAAATTCTGGTGCGGGAGCAGGCACATCGACACAAGTTTGGAATTTGGCAAAACTGAAGCACCACCAAATTACGGGACACTGTTTCCGTCTCTTTAAAGGCAAACAGGTCCTCAGCTGGCCCCACCCAACCACAGCTTCCTGGCTCCCTGCTTTCAGGGTTGCGAACTCTCTCCTCACAGTTAAAGCACAAGCAGCAGCTGAAAGAGCTTCATTGGAGAAGACCCGGGAACTCCTCAGCGGGTTGAAGGGAAGGTGAGCCTGGCTGAGACCCAGCTGAGCCATAGGGCTGGGAGGGCACTGGGGCCAGGGCAGGTGCAGGGGGTGGCTGTGGTCCGAGGAGGAACCAGGGACAGTGCCAGCCTCACAGCGGGTAGAGGGTGCTGTCACAGGGTGGTGGTGTGGGGTAGGAAGGGGAGGAAGGGGCTGCGTTATGAGCACAATGTCCTGCATCTCATACTGACAGGACACGTGTGTGCTGACAGGGGTACTTCCTGTGTTTGCTGGTGCAGCAGACACTGATGCTGCTGCTGAGCCTTCCTCCTCCCTTGATGGGAAACTGGTGTCCCCAGGGCAGGTGTTCAGGGCTGACAGTGACATAGAGTCCAGGCCGTCCAAGTGCCTCTGTCCACTGCCAAGATCAGGATCCCAGGCAGTGCAGTTCTCCCCCTGGGAGAGAGTGGACGACCCGTCCCCTCCGTTCCTTGTCCACCTCTGACTGGTGAGGTTTCAGAGTCAGGGGCTGAGGAGGAGCTGGGCAGAGGACTGTGGGCCGTGGTCAGGAGGGAAGGCGGGAGTAGAATGGACTTTCAGTTGGGTCCCTGCTCTGCCCAGTAGCTGTGAGCTCTGTGCCCCTGGGCAAGTGTCTCAGCATTTTCAGCCACATCAATGCCCTTATCTTAAACGTTAGCATAATAACCCTGGCTGGGTGGCTCTGTTCTCCGTTGGTTGGAATGTTGTCTCATACACCAAAATTTGTGGGTTCCATCCTGGTCAGGGTGCACAATTAGGTTGTGGGTTCAATCTCCAGGTGGGGTGTGTATGGGAGGCAAGCAATTGATGTTTCTCTTGCACATGGTTGTTTCTCTCTCTTCCTTTTTTCTCTCTAAAATCAATAAACATATCCTTGGATGAAGATTAAAATATGAAAATAATAAAATGAGCTTCCTCACAGGCTATTTTTGGGGAGTAAATGAGATGATGTAAAAATATTTATCAAGGTGCTTGGTAAAGAGTATTCAACAGTGGCTATACTACACCCAGGTTAAATTTTTTTTTTGTGGAAAAGTTTATTGTGGAAAACTTATCCCAAGGTAAAGAGAGTAATATAAGGAACTTCCATGGACCCAGACCAAGCTTCACCGATTATCAATTGATGCCAATCTGCTTCATTTGTAAACTCAGTCCTCCCTCCACACCTGGAATTATTTGGAGGTAGATATCGGACATTGTTTCAGTTTATCAATAAATATTTGAAACCACTGAAAATTATTGCCATCATCAGACTTTAAAAAGCAAGTAGAATTGTTTTTATAAAAATTACCAGTTCCAAACAGATTTTCCTGGTTTTCTCATAACTATAAAAATTGAAATTGGATCTAAATAAGATCCATAAATCACAATTGTTTGATGTCTCTTAAATTTAACTTAATATATCCATTTCCACCTTCCCTGTTGCTTTCTGGGAGATTTCTCTGGGTAAGAAAGGGGGGTCTCTTGTCCATCAGAATCGGGCGGTGTGTGTCCTGTCGATTCTATCAAAGGTGTCAGCTCACCTGCTCCTCCCGTTCCAGCGTCCTTGTGAATTTGTCTAAGGAGAGGCCTGGTCAGGTTCAGGGTGGACTGATTTTGGGTGGGAACACTTCACAGGTGCAGCAGTGAACTCCCGTCAGAAGGCACATGATGTCTGGTTGTCAGCCTGTCTGTGACACTAACTGACACTAATGGCTGCCTTAGTCTCGTTAAGGGTCACAAGCGATGACACTCAAATGCTGTCATCCCTTCCTCCTGTATTGGGTGGAATAATCCTGGGAAAAGAAAGCTCCCCTCAAGCTCTCTCTCATTTCCACGAGGAGCAGGTGTGTGAGAGACACAGATGAACGCCTGACTCTTCCCCTTTGAGTGTTTTTCCAGCAGACACCCGAGGGAGTGACAGATCACTTTTAGGAAAAGCATTGTTATGAATTCATGGATTTTAACATACTTGATGCTTTCATTTCATTAGAATTACTATGAATGCTCAAAATGTCCCATCCAGGTCCAGTTGGACTCTGCTGCAGTGGCCCCCAGTCCCTGTGATGAGATGCTAGTGAGTGGTCAGCATACCCGGGCTCTCTGGCTGACGAGGGCCTGTGGGCCCCTTGCACACGTGTCTGGCCCTGGAATCAGTGCTTTCTCCTCAGAGCCCTGACCTGTGGTGGGAAATGGCCTCTGAAGGCCAGAGCTGGGCGCTGAGGGGGTCCACTGTCACCGGGCTCATTCCTGTCCCTGTGCCTCTGTCCACTGCCAAGGGCTTCAAACTACACACAAATGCACACACACACACACACGCACACACACACGCGCACAATTAAAGTGAGGATGTGAAAACAGTTGGAGGTTGTTTTCAGGTTTTGGATGTTTTTTTTTTTTGTTTTTGGTCCTTAAGACATATCTCACCAGAGACAGACAATGAATGAATGCATTTCCAAGTCTCTTGGACCAGTTCCTTATGGGGTTCATCTACCTCTCAAATACCAGTTAGATTTGTTTTTTTCATTCTCTCTTGATTTTAATATTTTAAACATAATTTTTGGTGTGTAATTAGGTAAACTACCTTCCTGGTTTCAAGATCAAGCCTGTGAAATCTACGTGCACCCAGGACACCTGACTTCGAGCCCCTGCCCCTGTCCCCCCACCCCCCCACCCTGTCCGTCCCATCCCCACACAGGGAACTTCTGTGTCGGGTTAGTTTTCAGATTATCCTGCTGGTGCCTTTTCATATGTGTGAATAGTGTACCTGTTATAGTTTATAGATGATGTTCACATCCCCCTTACTGGAGAGATGGTAGGTGAACTCCACATTATTTCCTTCCCCTGGTGGTAGACACCCTGATGGTCTCCCCACTCTGGTGCAGGGAGACACTTCTCAGTCCTTTTCACAGCTGGCCAGGTCTTCCCGGTGTGGACACACCTTAGTTCATTCAACCCGTCGTCTACTGGTGGCCATTGGATAGGGTTTTGTTTTTTGCTCTTACAAATAATGATGCAATAAATAGCTTCATGCATGATTTTTGCTATAACATTGGTCAGTGTAGTTCAGGGATAAAAGCTGAAATGGGGGATTGGTAACAGGAGGGAAGGTGCCCGTGGACTCTACAAGGTATTGCTGGCTTCTGGTCTGCGGGTTTGGACTGTGCTTCCCTCCCCCCAGCCGTGCAGGGGAGGACCTGCTGCCCCTGCCTCCTCCGGCTGACTCTTAGCACAGTCTGCCGTTCTGCCAGACCTGGAGGGGACAAACAGCATCTCACCTAGAAAACAGAGGTGTGATTTAAAATTATTTTATTAACTTATATTATTTTTGTGTTTTGATTTATTTTTGTCTATTATGAGTGTATGTTACTGTCTTTTGATATATTCAAGACACATTTAAACTATTTTTCCTCTGAATGGTTACTTCTATCTTTTGATCCATTTTCCATCAAGTTGTTGGTTATTTGTTTCTGCAGCTTTTAATTTTGCTTTTGTAATAGGGAAATTCACCCCCTAGATGTACATTGGAAAATGCTTTTTCCCTAGTTTGACATTTTTGCTTTAATTTGTCTGTGATGCTTCTTGTCTCACATTACCTGTGAGAGTTTTCTGTAATCACACGTATTAGTCCTTTTCCTTACTCTGTGTCAAACCTTAGCAATATTTTCCCTACTCCCAGGTTACAAAGAATTTGCTGAGGCCTTTTCTGTTATTTCTATGGGTTAGTTTTCTATTTAAACATGTGAGGTGTTTGAACTCTGATGGTGTGAGGCAGTGGAGGCAGTTTTCTCGTTTTCTATTCGGTTTCACAGTCGCCCCCACGTCGCTTTATTCATCCGCCTTTCTCCTCAGTGATGTGAGATGTGGACTTATTGAATCTATGGTAACATCTAATTAACTGTTTTATAAGTGAATATTGTACAATTAATTTGGTCTGTTTCTGAATATTCTATTTCAGTTTCCCTGTTCCCTCTGTTTGTGCACCAACCCCATGAGGCTGTAATGACAGAAACTGCGTGTTTGACTCCTGGTAGAGCTGGTCCTCCCTCCTTATTCTTTTTCTCATCGGTGCTGAATAATGTTCTTTTTTTTTCTCCAAATGAACTTTACCATCCATTATTTTAACTTTAGAGGAGTATCTATTAGTTGTAATTTCATGATATGCCTTAAACATGAGTTAGTGTTGAACTGAGACAATTGTTTTTTGCATCTAGTTAGTTTCTCCTTCATGTGTTAATGGCCTGTGTAGAAAAAACCAATTTTCTCATATTGAACCATCCTAGCATTTCTGAAATAAGTCATATTTAAACATGGTGTATCACTCTTTTTAGTGTTCAATAATTTTTTTAGGATTTTTGTATTACTATTTCTAAATGAGACACATCTGTGGCTTTATTTATTGGTGAAATCTTGGTTAGCCTTTGGGATCAATATTATACTTGATTCCCAGAAAGGACTAAAACTTTCCCTTCTTTTGTGTGTGGTCAGGGACAGCTCAGGGAGCTCTGAGAGAGCAGAGCTGTAAGGTGCAGGTGTGCTCCCCTGGGAGGGCCCTGGCCCTGGTGCTCTTCTGTGGGGAAACTCTATTGTTTCTTCTGTAGTAATTGAACTATCATCTCTCTATTGGTGCTGGGTTCAATGTGAATAATAGACTAGTACAAAGTTTCAGGGAGGAAATGAGGGCTGGGAATGGTGGGCACTTGCCTAAGTTGACCCCTCCCCATGTTCTTCTCCTCCTCGGGGTCTTGCAGGAACCTGCACCCAGAACCTCTTGAACCAGCATGGCTGACCTTCAGGACAACACTCTGCGGATCGTTCTGGTGGGAAAAACCGGAAATGGGAAAAGTGCGACAGGAAACACCATTCTCGGGAAAAGAGCATTTGATTCTAGAATTGCTTCCGCGTCTGTTACCAAGAGCTGTAAGAAAGAAGAGAGGGCCTGGAAGGGGAGGAAGCTTCTCGTGGTGGACACCCCCGGGCTCTTTGACACCGAGGAGAAACTGAAGACCACCTGTGAGGAAATTGCTAGATGTGTCCTCCTCTCCAGCCCCGGGCCTCATGCCATCATCCTGGTTGTACGGCTGGACCGCTTCACACAGGAGGAGCAGAATACAGTTGATTTGATCAAGGCCATCTTTGGGAAGCCAGCCATGAAGCACATGATGGTCTTGTTCACTCGCAAAGATGAATTAGAAGGTAAAGAGCTCAGTTCGTTCATAGCAAAGTCAGACAAGCGCCTAAAAACCATCATCACAGAATGTCAGCACTACTGCTGTGCCTTCAACAACAAAAGTGCAGATGAGATTGAGAAGGAAGATCAACTGCAGGAGCTGGTGGGGCTGATCGAGGCAATGGTGCAGGAGAACGGAGGGACTCACTTTTCTGATTCCATATATGAGGACACAGCAGAAAAGCAGAGACGTCTGGAAGCGGCCTTGAAGAAAATCTCTGATACTTATTCAGAAAACAAAAAAGTACTAGAAGAGAAATATGCTAAGAATGAAATAACAAAGCAAGAAAAGGAGAAACAAATGAAAGTCCTAAATGAGCAACATGTTCGACAAATTGAAAATGCCAAGAAAGAACATGAAAAAAACATATTTGTAGCTGTTTACAATCGGATTTGGAGTGCGCTTTCAAAAGTGTGGCATATGTTTTGGAAATAATGTGAATTCATTTTGATTTTTTGTTAATTTACTGTGATTTGTCGATGTGGTAGATTGTATTTTCCAAAGATGGCTATACCGATATCTGCTACCCCAGCTCTGCTTCTTGTACTCTGTGCTGTTGCTCCTTCTGTTGGGTGATGGGGACTGTGTCCCCTCCTTGAAATTCCATGGACTCTGTGACTGCTTTGATGAGTAGTGGCTGGTCAGGCTTCTAAAGTTAGACTGGGACAGTGTCGCCTTGCTCTCTGCAGTAGGCGCCCTAGGAACATGGCCCCCGTGCTGTGAGGAAGCCCACGTTGCCCATGGAGAGGCCCCAGGAAGAGGACTGGAATCCTGGCCCCATCCCCTGCCTGCTCTTTCATCTGCCTGTGAGACTACCTGCCAGCCGTGCAAGTGTGGGCACAGGGCGGTGGGCTCTCCAGCTGCTAGCAGAGCCGCCTCAGGGGAAGCTGCAGACAGCATAGCTGGGCCATCCCCACCACATCCCACCCAGTTTGTAGATTCATGAGAAAAATAAATGATGTTGTTTCAAACCACTAAGCTTCGGGCTGGTCTGTTGTGCAGCGACAACTCCCCAGAGCATCCTCCCAGCTCATTCTCACCCATCCCCACGGTGCCAATGCATTTAGGAAGTGACAAAATGGGCCCTGGCTGGTATGGCTCTGTGGATTGAGTGTGAGCTGTGAACCAAAGGATCACCAGTTTGATTCCCAGTCAGGGCACAGGCCAGGTCCCCAGTGGGGGGCAACCACACATTGATCTTTGTCCCCACTCTCTTTTTCTGTCCCTTCCCTTCTCTATAAAAATAAATAAATAAAATCTTTTAAAAAACAAGTGACAAAATGGGCACAATCAGGCCATAATACATTATATAGAGTTCAAAAACTCTATTTAGGAAAATCAAATAAAAAATTCTGCACATGCCACATGTTACCCCTCTCATGATGCACATTTTTTTTCCGTCCATGTCTATGACCCGGCGGTCAGTGAAGCAGCAGGTCTCTCCAGGAAGATGGTTTGTGGTCCACGGAGGTGCAGGAGGTGCTAAATCCTTATTGTTTTTCTTTCTTTTCTTGTCCAGGTACCATCCACATGTAGAATGTCCCTGACTATAACTTAAATATATCTTCTGGGGCAAATAGTTTTCCTTTGTCTCTATAGATCCACACTTTGCCCCCCTCACCCTAGCTCTATGCCCCAGGAGGATGACCTACATGATCACATTGTTCATGAACTCAAGGGGTTCACCCTTGGGGTGCTCTGCTCAAGGACAAGACATGGTTCTCACAAGGTAGATGTATTTACTTGCAGCCAGTGAAGAACATTCAGGGATTCATATCCTAAGTTCACTCTTTGGGATGGAGGCGGAGCCAGTGCTCACGTGCACTCACTGGTCAGTGCCACATCGGCTTCCTCTTTGCAGTTGGCTGCACTTACCTGGGGGGGCTCCTGCCAAGCGCGTCCTGCTTACAGCTGGTCTGCAGACACTGCCCTGCTGTGACATGTGGTGAGAACAGTGCTGAGTGAGAGGGGCCCCGACCTGAGGCCCCTGTCCTGTCTGTCGGCATCAGCGGGTCCCCCTGGGTCTCTGAGTCTTGCTGGGCTCCTGCCAGTGGGAAGTCCGAGCAGGAGGCCTCCTCGGGGTAGAAAAGTGAGGCTGGGGTATTTGTTCTCCTCCCTCTGTCCCTGCAAGGTCATCTCTGACCTGCTGCAACCTGAAGCTGAATGTCACACCTCCTGTACCAAACCCCCCTTTCTGGATTCCAGCTCTCCTTCACCCCCTTAGGGTTACGGTGTCAGTTTCTTACTCTTACTAACAGTGTCTCTTGCCTCTTGAATACCCTGTGCCCACCTCTTATAGCAAACTTTTTCTTCCATTCTCGTGTTCCTGTGGCTCTGACACTCCACACTGGGAGCTGTGAACCCCAGTGTATCTGTTACTCTGGGGACGTCATAGGGAGGACGTGACCTCTACTTGGCCTAAAAGCTGCACCCAGGCTTCCCCACCCATGCCAACCCATCCTTGGAATGTGTGTTCAGCTCCCTGGGTCCCTTCCCAGGAGCTGCCTCAGGGACTTGGCCTGGAGAGAGTAACGTGTTGTCGCAGCAGCTGAGGGGTCTGTATACACTCTTCAGACCTGGCAGGCAGCTGCACCAAATATTTGTTTGGGGACCACCCACGACCAGCCTTGTAAGTAAGTTCCCAGACTCATTAAACTGCCACCTCCCCATGGGCAGTGACCTGCTGCTGTCTCTCCAGGCTCCATATGAGGGCTGGTGTCAGACTTACTCCCAGGAGGCGAATTGCCAATGTGTGCTGATAAAGGAGCAGTCTTGTCTGTGGTTAGAGACAAAGATGAAAGATGGGGTGCCTAAAGCAACTGTTCTCAGGTCCTTTCTTCCTGTTAGAAGTATCTTTATGTTCCAAAATTCTTCTTAATTTTTTCATTTCTTTGTGTCCTCTTCAATTTCACTTAGTAGTGATAGCTTGTAGTTTTCAGTGTACAAGTCCCTCACATGCTCTTGATGTTTATTCCTAGGTGTTCTATACTGTTTCTGCAATAGCAAGAGAAATTGGTGTTTTAAAATATTTTTTTCTGAAATTTCATTGTTGGGTTGTGGAACACAATAAATTTTTGTACACTGATTTTGTATACTGTAAATTTACTTGTTTCTAAAAAATACACTAATAGCTAAAATTTGATGTATAGATACTGTTTTAGCTGCATCTCATAAGCTTTAAAACACAGTATTCACTTATGCTCTTGCTTTAAATATTTATCAATTTTGATTACTTCATCTGATTTGATCCATGGGTTATTTGACCCAGGCATTGCCTGAGGGAGTGTGGGGATGGCTGGAGGGCAAAATTAGGACAACTGTGATAGCAGAGGCCATAAATAAATACATAAAAATAAAACTGTGTCCTCCAATTGACGAACATATGATATTTTATTACTTATCTTTTAATTATGTTGTGGTCAGGAAATATGCCCTATGTTATTTCAATACTATACAGTTTCAAAGCACTCCTTGAGACCAGTGTTGGTCAGTGTTCCCCATCTGTTTGAAAATAAGGGACTGAATTTGAGGAAGTGTCTGCACATGTGCATGATGAGGCCAAGTCCATGAAACTGGTTGCTTCAATCTTCTGTATCCTTTTTGCATCTTCACTTGCCTGCTCTGGTGAGGACTGAGAAATGTGTGTTGCCCCTGTCACCCTAAGTGCAGGTTTGCCCATTTTCTCTGTGAATGAATCACTCCCCTTATAAAGTGAGGACTCCGAGTGCGGCAGGTGGAAATGCAAAGCGGTGTCTGAGCTGGTGCGCAGGGCTCTGTGGCTGTGCCCCCACCACACTGCTGAGGTCCCACCTGCCGCCTACACTCCTCACCCGTCTTACTATACTTGCTGTTGTTCTTCTAACATAAACGAATATGTCATACATTTTATAACTTACAAATTTATTCATTTATTGTTTATTTTCTGTCCCTTCCAGGAACACTGGAAGATCCAAACTAAGAATTGTTATCTGTGATTATTTGATGTATCCAGGTTCCTAGGACACTGCCTGGCACATAACATGCTTTCGATAAAAATTGAATGGAAAGTCTAATTCATTTGATAGCTTGGTCTTATTGGTTCTGAATTTAATTATTTTAAAAGATGTTATTTATTTACTTTTAGAGAGGGGGGAAGGGAGGGAGAAAGAGAGGGAGAGAAACTTCAATATGTGGTTGCCTCTCGCACCTCCCCCTACTGGGGACCTGGCCAACAAACCAGGCATGTGCCCTGACTGGGAATCAAACTGGCGACCCTTTGGTTCACAGTCTGCACTCAATCCACTGAGCTACACCAGCCAGGGCTGGTTCTAATTTGATTGCTCTGTTTGCCTAAACTTCTGCTTTCAACCTTTCTCTGGTTTCATGCTTTAGATGCAAATTTTTTTTGCAATCCCCTGAAAAAAAAGTTTATTCTTTTAACTGAAATCTTTGGTCCATTTATCATAATTATAATTTCTGATCTATGTGGATGCATATAAAATTTTTATTTTTGCATTCAATGTGTCCAACCTGTTCCAAAATCCATTCTCTAACTTTTTTGTTGTTGCTGATTACTTTGAATTCTATGGGTATTTTTTCACATTCTACCATTTACTACTTTGGAAATAACATACATTTTTCTAAAATTTTCAATATCCACCTAGTGATTACAATACATAGTCTTACTTATCATGGACTAAAGGTAATCTATCCTTTTATCTTCCTCTTATACAACAAATTACCTTGGACATTTTAATTCCATTCTTACCTCCATCCCAACCTAAATATTACTGTGTATTTTATTTTAATTTTTTTCCTTTCAGAATTTCAGAATCTAGAGGCCATTTCTATTATTTTGCACTGTTCCCGTTAGTTTAACTTAGTCTTTGTTCTCCCCTCTGAGTCACTGGTGGGATTGCTTTCCACTCGTGTCCAGCACACTGTGTAGAAATCCCTCCAGGGAAGTCGTGCTGGGGGCAGGAGCGCTCCCCTTCATTGTCTGAAATGCACGTGTGCTGCCCTGACTCCTGACAGCCGTCCCCTGAGTGTGGAGATCTGAGTCAGCTGTCATCTTCTCTGAGCTCATTGCAGGTGTGCTGGCACTGTCTCTGGCTGCTCTGTTACTGGGCAGGGATCAGTGCAGTTCCAGCATCTCCCCCTGGAAGGTCATGGGTCTGTGCTTCTGGCTCCTTTGAGGAATTCTTTTTGCTTTGATGTCCTATAGCTTCATCTTATGTGTCAAAGTGTGAATTCCTTCTTCCTGACTGTGTTTGGGACCTACTGGATGGTCTGAATTTTGGGTTGGTGTGTTTCCTCAGCTCCACCATCGTAGCTTTAATGATTTCCTCTGTGGTCTTCCCTTCTGTTTTCTCTCCACAAGTACCCTCTGCCTGTTTGCAGTGCATCCTGGCCTTTTCTTTCTCAACCCTCCCTGCACTCACCAGGTAGTGCTCACTGACATTTTTGAGGGGTTAGCCTTTTGGGGGTTATGGTCAGAGTTCCCTGTGAGACCCTGTTGAATCCGCCCTTGCCTTTGGCTCCCAGGTCAGTGGGGTTGGAGATGCACAGTCGAAGTTCTCCCAGTTGGTGAATCTCCTCAGAGAGCCAGTGGGCTGCTGTCCTTCGCTTACAGGTCTGGGTTTCCCCCTTCATGGGGCTCCACGTCTGAGCAAGTTCCTTTCCTTGACGGTTCTTGCATCCTTTAAGAAAATATAGGTAATATTTTCCACTATTTTTAGTTGACTTCAGAGGAATGGTTAATAACCTCAATACCTGAGGGAAACTTTATTTTTCGTTTGTTTGGTTAGGTGTCTTCCCATAGGTTTCCTGAGTTCATGGCTCTGTTAGGGGTTAATTGTTGTGTTACCTGTGTCCCTTCTGTGTCTCTTTCAGTTGTCTGCTCTCCCTGGTTGTTGTTTTTTTGTTTGAAAACAAATCCATACAGCAGTTTTGTGGGTGTCAGGAGTGGGGGATGTCCTGTAGGCTGTCCC